TCAGTGCAACTTCTGCAGGCGTCAAAAACTTTTGTTTCTTTGATCGATTATATAAGGGTCACGATTAACCCCTTTAAGTATGTATGAAACTAGACACCCCCGTAGTTTTTATTTTGCATAATTTTTTAAGAAAATTCGATCTGATTTTAAAGGCCAGTAGAATCAAAACCATAAAATTAGAGGAACCAGATTTAAATCCTACAAAAGGTTTTATGTTTTAATGGCTTCATTTGTTGCCCAAATATGACTATCCTATAGGTGCATCTGGTTGAGGGAGTTTTCCTTGCAGTTGCCACAAACGATAATCCCAGCCTTCTGTGTCCCACAACCATCTGCATACCCCCTGTGGCATTGGCAGAAAATTGTGGAAATAAGAGGCGTGGAGCTGGTTCTCAATCAATGTTGGCTGGCTGCTTCGGATGTTGGTGGTTGGGATGCCAAGTTAAGTTTGAATTTTACGAAGGCTTTGAAAATCAGGTCAAATCTCAATTTATTTATTTATAAATTATCTATACAGTGTCGCCTGCCATGTTTCCTTAGAGGGTTGTCAAAAATCGTGGCCCAGCTTAGGTAATAGCTTCAGCCTCCTCTAGATGAAATGCTTGATTTCTTCGAAAAGACATTTCTGTTCGATCAACATCTTAACCACCTTCTTCTTGCTCTGCCTGAATAGGGCTGAAGTAGTGTCACATCCACTTATGGCGTGGATATAAGTTGCCTTCTGATGTTGTCTGCCAGTTTGGAGCTGTTGGGATCAAATACGTTTGATGGCGCTCGCGTCGTTCCCCTTCCAGGTTTTGAAAACTATTATGTTTGCTGATATTGATAGAGGGATAGAAGGGTCCCTGGTTCAAATCCAGGTTCGGGCATGGATGGAGTATACGTAAATGTATAGTGGGTTGGATCGGTAGAGCAGCCTTGGCTGAAACCCCGCCCGCTCAAAAATAAAGGCAAAATAAAATTTAAAAAAAATCAATAAATAAACAAATAATAAATATTTAATAAAAAACTCTTTTTCTCTTTATAAATAGGTACAATTCCTCTGTACGTGTGTTGTGACCGAACTACTCCTAAACGGCTGGACTATTTTGATGATTTTTTAATGTGTCTCTGAAGTGTGTCCCCGGATGGTTTAGATTCGCACTTGGGTCCAATCGGAGTATTAGGATTTTTTAAAGTTCTTTTTCGTTGATGTCGCACTCTACTATTTCGCGTATCGATGTGTTTACATTTTGTGAGCTGGGTTTCTCTTATCAGATATGCGTCAATATCGAGCGGACGTAGTCGCGGGGAAAATCCTAAAACTTCGATTAGCACGAGTATGGGAACGGGGTGCGTGCGTTTGGACTCATTCAATGTCGAGTTCAATGTAGAATTTAATGCCATGTAAAACTTCTAAGGGGATTTATGTTTTCGATATTGTGAGTTATTTTCAAAAAACCGCAAAAAACCCTTATCGTAGGTACACGCCTCACACCCCCGACGAACTTCTTACTGCCTATCAATCAATGTTTTCTTGGATGAGACTTACGCTCGGTTTTCACCGCTTCATCGTACACATCCTACGAACTATGGAAACACCTGGCGGTATGAAATATACTTAACGACATATTCTCATACCTAGCAAATAGAAAAAAAATCCTAAAAATCTGTTGCGCCGTTTCTGAGGAGTGTGATCACAAATACTGTGACACGAGATTGTTATATACAGGGTGGCCATTTGAAAACGAAACAAAGCCTATTTTGGGAACCTCAAAACATTTACGAAAAAATCCTCGGACCCGTCAATTTTTCATCCAAGGGGGAACCACTTTTTTGCTAGTTTCGCCCCCCTAGGAGCAAAACCATAGCGAGGGTGACAAGTGCCCCCAAAGTTTTAAATCGAATGGGGGGTCGAGTGATACCTTATTTTGAAGGTAGATTATAACTCTTAAGATTTTAATAAATTTTATTTTAAGTGCTTAAAGCTAAAATCAATCAAGTAAATGTTGAAAATGTTGGCCTTCGACTTCCATATAATAATACAGGTTTTGTTCAAACCTTTCCCGTACATTTTGATAAACTTCTGGGGTGATTTGACGACATTCATCAATTATTCTTTGTCGCAAGTTCTCTAGCGATGTTGGCTGACTAGCATAAATTTTAATTTTTAAATGTCCCCATAAAAAAATCTAACGCAAAGTCCGGGGACAAGGAGGCCATTCAATAGCTCCTCTTCTTCCAATCCATTGTCCTGGAAACGTTTGGTCCAAATATTGACGAACCCTTGCAGCATAGTGGGGTGGCGCACCATCTTGCTAAAATACTAGACGATTTTCCAAGTACTCGTTATTTTCTAGTATCTCCACTAATGCTGGGTGAAACGTATTTTCTAATAACTGCAGGTACATCTCTCCTGTTAGATTGCCAGGTAAAAAGAAGGGGCCTACGATATGGTTACAAAAAATGCCAGCCCAAACATTCAATTTTTCGGGACGTTGTGTATGCACCTCACGAAATATTCTGGGATTTGAATCAGCCCAATAGCGACAGTTGTGACGATTCACAGTACCGTTTAGGAAAAAGGAACATTCGTCATAGCCACCTACAGATATTAAAAAGAAAAAAAACAACAACAAAAGGTACAGTTCAGAATGTAGAATAACAACATTTTTTGTATTTATTGTTGTATTAATTGTTGTTATTTAACTAATTAATTTACAAGCATTTTTTTTCATAAGAAAATGTTGACACGTTTTTAACTTTTATTAGCCCCTGTATCGGCTAGGCAAATTAGTAGCGATTTAAAACTTAAAGAGTATAATCCACATAAAAATACCTTCAAAATAAGGTATCACTCGACCCCCCATTCGATTTAAAATTTTGGGGGCGGTCGTGACCCCCGCTAGGGCTTTGTCCTTAGGGGGGCGAAACTAGCAAAAAAATTGTTCCCCTTTGAATCAAAAATTGACGGGTCCGAGGATTTTTTCGTAAATGTTTTGAACTTCCCAAAATAGGCTCTGTTTCGTTTTCAAATGGCCACCCTGTATTAGATAACATGTAAGTTTATCCCATACGAGCGCAAACTTGACTAACAGTCACTGCGGCATCGATGTTAGAAGTCCGATTTGCTTCTTATAACAAACGGCAAGTTTCTAGAAAAATTACGGACATGGCAACTGCCGGCGTTGCACCCCGTTGTTCGGGATACCGGTACAATATTTTCATGTTAATGAATTTAATTTGTTTCGTTGATCGATTTTACGTATTTAAAAGGATCACGGTGAAACCTTTTAAGTACGTAGAAAAATATACTTCCTCGCCGTTTTTATTTTGCATATTTTTTAAGTTCGATCTTATTTAGTATTTTCCGTGGTATTCTCGTGTTTTTGGAGGGAACTTCCGAGTCGCGTCAAATATATATATATTTTTTTATGGATTGTGTTTAAAAGATAGCGGCTGCTGGCGTTCAGGATGTCAGGGATGACCTTTTGTCATTTTTATTATGTTGAATTGTTAAAATACTCGGTAAAATAGGACTGAATGCAGTTTTTGCGGCGCGTCAAATGTTATTTCTTTGATCAATAACGTTTAAAATGCTTTTAAAAGGTTTAAATCGTTGCCGTTTTTATTGTACGTAATTTTTTTTGAAAATTCGATTTTATGTAGTTCTGGCATGTTCGTTGTGCGGCGCGTCAAAAATGTTTGTTTACTTGTAAGCGTCATTAGCAACTCCTTTTAATGCATATCAAAGTATACACCTTCGCCTTCATTTTGCATCATTTTTTAAGAAAATTCGACCTTATTTCGTATTATCATATAATTTGGTGGTGTTTAAGCGAGGGTGTAAGTCTTGCAAAGAATCAAAAATCGATTATATCTAAAAGGCTCACGAGTATTCCCTTTAAATGCATATGAAAATATACACCCATGTCGTTTTTATTTTGCGTATTTTTAAGGAAATTTTGATCTTACTTTGGAAGGGTGTAACTTTTGCGGGGTATCAAATTTTTTTAAATTCCTTTAATTGATTACTGATGTTTAAATGGTCCACTGTCAACCTTATACATGTCTATGCAAGTGTATAGGTTTTTGTTTTAGGAAAATTGGAGGTAGGGTCATTTGAATAGGTGCAATTTCTAGAGCCTCTCAAATATTTTTATTTGTTTGATTGGTTATGTTCACTATCAACCCCATAACTGCACCTCCCTCCGCCGTTTTCATGTTGATGGTATTTAATAAAATTCACTATAATCTTATAACTATTTTTAGTATCTACTTATTCCGAATAAGCGCTCTCGTAGTTTATTTATTTCTGATGATATGTTGAAATGTTTCGTGCGGTGAGTTTTTCGAGAGCCTCATTACGTCGAATGTTTGCTTTATTATCCCGTTTATTATACTGCAAGCCGGAACAATGTGGGGGTATTCATTGAAACTTTCTAGGCATTGTTCCGGAATATTTTTCCGTTCGAATATTGTAGTTTAATGTGGTATTTATGGAACGCAGACTGTGCTTTAGAATAAGGGTTCTTAATTGGGACAATTAGTTATGTACGTATGGGTATGCCGGGGTCTTTCATAGATTCTAATTTTTATAGTCGGGCCTCCTGAATTTTAAGTATGTATTGAAAATTTATAAGCAACCTCCACCGCTTAATAAATTTAAGTAAAAGACTGTCAACCAGATTTAGGACAACCTTTAAATGAAAAGTGATTGATTACTACGTTCTTTGCCGTGTTAATAATCATGAAATTCATTACATCATTTTTTACTAAATGGTGTAACGTATATAAACGTTACTTTCCGGAATATTTCCATAACCCGATCTTCAGTTGTACTGCGGTCTACTTACATGCATATGATATTTGTGCAAATTCTGTTCAAGGCATTCGTTTCTAAATTATATTGGTCTCACAACTATAAATTATACACCAAAAGGGATCGGTGAAACCGAAACCTTATACTGTTCGCGTATAAATCATGGTTAATTAATGCTAATCCATATATTTTTTTGCAGGTATGTCCACGTTTCGAATTTTCAGCGTAGTTTGGGTAAGATACAAACAATAAATTTCATCTCTTTAAATCCATTTTATCCATTATACACCCGTTTTTAAAACTTTCTCTAACAACTAACAACTGTCTTAAGCTGTTAAAATCTTAAAAATAAAACTTATTCTCTGTTTGCGACAAAGGCGAGCTTTCCGCAATTCGCCGCAGGATTAGCAAAGTTTCAGAAAGTTTGCGGAGAATTACTCGTCTCCACACACACGTCGATGCTGTAGAATTATATCGCACTTTCTTTCGTTGATGAATTATGAAATTGAGGTTTTAGTTTTAACGTTTATAGCAATTTTGATTTTCATATTAATTTAATCTTTTCTAAAAAATCAGTGAGCTTTAAGGGAAACTTCCTCCCATTTCACCTGTTTGGTGAAAAGTTATGCGGTATTAAGTTTTGTTGCAAAGATTGTGAGGAATCTATTTCTTTTTTCCAGCAAAAGGTTTATTGCGGAAATTTATTGTATTTAGATAACGTATAGGCTCTACTTTTCTCTTTGCATGTTTTACTATTATGCCCTCCTAAGTGTTAAGTTTTATCGCCAACAAAACTAATCGAGACTATTTTCGTTCGACCCTTCATTTCGAAAAAAATAGCACCCACTAAAAGTCTAAAACCTATAATCACTCTCACAATTGTACAAAAACGGATAAGAACAAGCATGAGTAAGCATTAAAAGGCAGTCCTACAGTGTCCTGCCACGTTTAAACTAGATTTCCGAGTACCTCCTACGAATGCTTATTAACGGTAACAATTTCGATTCCACGAAAAAGAGAAACCTTTTCCTCGAAATGTTCTGTTTGTGTCTATACCTGCACTCCAAACGGTACCTATTACAAATGTGTAAAATTTTCCGAAACGTTTACCTGTTTACAGCAATTTAATAAGGGCTAATGTAAGGTGAAACTTTAAGGCCCGGTTGTACAACGTCAGTTTAAACTTCAGTTTAGTTTAACTGACAGATTTCAAAAAGACGATTGATCAACTAATCACATCCTTTAACCCACAATTTAACTATAAACTAAAGTTTAAACTCACATTGTACAACTGGGCCTAAATTTAAAATGTATAGCTTGAAACGAAATAAATATTTTGAACTTAATAATCAGAAAAGTTCAAATGATCTCTCTAAAACTAAATTAAAGAAATTCGAAGCTCTATCTAGTTAGCCCCCGCAATAAAAAAAATGTGCAATGAAAATGTTTAAATAGTGCTAGATAGTTATGCTCAATTGTGCGGATCCAATTTTAATTTGTGCTGATTTGGAAAATCAGTTTTCCTTGAATTGTAACGCGGGGCCAATTTGACTCTCAACCCCCCTGGTTTTTAAGGTAAAAATTCCACTACTATTTTAACGAGTTGCGCTCGATGCATATTAGATTGTGCCGTCAAACATTCGAAAATAGTCTTATAGTTCCCGCACTCCAACTCTCGTAAGCTTCTCAACCCTCACGTTTTTTTACAAAAATGTGCCGTTCAAATTTTCGAAAATGGTCTTATGGTACTCGGTAGCTCCTGTACTCAAATCTCTGGGCCAACTTGACCCAAAGGATTTTCACAAATATGAAATCAGTAACAATGGCACTGAATTGTGCTCGATGCGAGGGGGGAAGCCACCTATGTTATTTTGCAGAAATATTTCCTCACGGAGGAATTATATTTCGTTTTCAGTCTACATTTCATACGTATTGCATGATATTTCCTCTTATTACCTCAACATAGTTTACTCAAATTGAGGGTATATTTATCATCAATGCCTTTCTAATATTGTCCCATATTCCTTCATATTTCCCCCTATTATCCCCTAATTCTCCATATTCCTCGGAGTTCCCCTTATTTCCTCATACTGCCCCATAATTCCTTTACATTACCCCCAACTTTTGACAATATTGCCTTAGTGGTCTCCCCCTTGGCTTGATGCATTATTGGATTTTCCCGATAAAATATTCGAAAATGTCTTAGTGTACGCGGTAGTTCCTGCTCAAATCTTCGGGAGCCATTTTGACTCTTAGCCTCCATGAACAAACATAATATGTAATAAAAATATGTAGGTACAATACATATAATAACTGCGGTGCGCGAGCGGATGTTTCGGCGGATTATATACCTACATCACAGCATACGCTGTGCCTACATGCTGATTTAGAGCAAAGGCAATTACGAATTAATGAATCGCATTAAGATTTGATCGGATTATCTATGAGTCAAACCGATTTTTAATATCGTCTACCAACTGTATACAAAACTCAAGGCTAGTCTTTAAAAATTGAGTTTTTCTGACCTGTTCCTTGTTTTTTTAGCTTCTCAAAGTACAGATTACTCCCAAATAAACCTTTTTTAAAGGCCCAAACCATATTGGGTCTTTATGATCAAATCAAATGCAAATATATCAGCACCTTTTTCTTAAATGTGTTATTTCAGTGTAGTTAGGTACTGCAGAGCTTTTTAAGAGCCTTCTGGTTTCCTCTTTAATTTATACAATAGGTATAGGAGATTCACTTTGAAATAGCACATTAAATTCAATTAGGAGGCCTACTGTATAGGTACGACATAAACTCCAAATTCATTACTGTAAAGCTATTCTTCATTGCCAATAACATATCGTCTAGGGTTCTTGAAGGATCGGTAAAAACCACTTCACGAAAATAAGCCTGTAAAGATTGATTGATTTTTGAATGTTTGACTTCAGTAACCAAATGTTTTGCCTTAGTTCTTTTAACAGACACATTTTTAGCCATTTAAGAGTCTGGGAACAGATCAGCACACAAGAATCCTGGCTTTTACTTGAGTTTTAGAGCCACTTCCTTAAGAGCCGTTCCAAAACCTTAGTACACTTCTCGGTACACTTGGTTTGCCTTGAAATATCTTGAAGAGCTTCTACGAGTATAAGGTAAAGTTGACGAATTGCTCCATTTTGCAATTAGTGTGTTGCTAACAGTTAACGAAGTTGTATTACACTAATTTTTTATTAAAATTTATTAATTGGTCGCTGTCGATTTCGGACGAGCTTCGTCCATCATCAGGCGATACGTCAGTACCTATAGTAAAAAACGAATCTTGAAATAATGAAGATGTTGGAATGTTGAAGTTGTATGTTATGATCTGTAGTATGGTTACCACTACAGATAATAACGTACAACTTCAACATTCCAACATCTTCATTATTTCATGATTCGTTTTTTATTATACTGACGTATCGCCTGATGATGGACGAAGCTCGTCCGAAATCGATAGCGACCAATTAATAAATTTAATAAAAAAAAATTAGTGCCATACAACTTCGTTAACTATTAGGTAAAGCTTTTTTTTGAGATTTTGAAAATCTCAAACGATCTATACGAGGCTTTTTTTTTAAATTGTAAACTCTTTCACAATATCATTGCAACTTAATCCGGCCCCACGTACCTTTTTCTGCCGATATCTCGACCCTATGGCGATTATTTGGAGCGAACGAGGAGACCAGGTTCTTCTCAAAAATTGCTAGTGCCAACTCATTCTCATAGTTTGGCATATGTCCAAAGGTAGAAATACGTAATTGGCTTAATCGTTACATAAAATTGATGTATGTATAGTACAATAGGTAAATAAAGTAGGAAAATGTGGGAAAAATTGAGCAAGGCGTGAAACGTACAGCCAATGAGGTTAGATTGTTTCCTAACGCAATCAAAGGTCAACAATAATCAAATTGCCATCCAAACTGATGTAAAACTGAAGAAGATTACGTAACCCCACCCGACCATGTAATTTAAATGAGTTGTTCCTGCTAGATCTTGTCTAATTAATAGCAGTTAGCGTAAGGCCATCCAAGGTCTAAATTTAGTAGAATTTTTACGCTTGTGCCCAAACTCGAAACCAGAAGTGCGAATGTTACGTTCTGTAAACTTCCGTTTTTTTTAAAATTAAGCTGGTCTTTTATTATACAGTTACATAAACTAGTGACGTTTCTTTTTCGATGTAAACAAGTCGAGACCTCCAAATTAAATTCAAAGCAAACAAAACGAGGCGGAGGAATTTAAGAAGGGTCAGTACTTGGAATCCTCACCATCAGGTTTACCTTTACCTGAGCCGAGATCGAAGCGATGCATTCGTGTCCATTGTGAACGATATATGTACATAACGAGCTACCTACGGGGGCGAAATTATAACCTTTAGACTTCTGGCATTGCATGTTTCGGCCCATCTGGTCATCGCGACGCACGACTGACGAAAATGATCGAAAGGATGCCAAATTATCGGATAGCTTCCGGTCATGAAATTTGAATGCGAACTGCATGATTGCCCACATCTTCGACTTCGCGGTGGAGTTTATTTTTAAAAGCCGCACTACGTCTGTTCTTGGCGGGAGTCGAAAGAAACAGAATAATGTTTTGTAGAGCACGCCCGACTTCGACCATTAGTTATTGTCTCTTTTAAATTTAAATTAAAACTTAAACAAAGTTGTAAAACCTTCACGCATAATATATTTTCTAATGTCTAAAAATTCCACTTCGTTAGTCTAACTGTAATGTCTTTCAGTATTGATTTTGTCCTTTCGGATAGTGCATTACGGGTTTCACGGTACGAAAGCTTCCCACGCTGTGTATTCAGACTTTCGACTTTTTTTTATTGACGAGTAACATTTTAATCCTTTACAATGAAACCCATTTCAATTTTTTTTCTCTTCATTCATGCTCCAGTAAGTTCCAATTTTTCTCGAATCCACGATTCCCTTCCAATCGGAAAGTGGTGTACAGAATCGGATGGTCCTCGACTCTAAAGGCACCCTACCCTACAAAGGCAATTAAGTAGCCCCAATTGAGTTCTCCAAAAGGTAATGCTTCCATGAGAAGCGTCTTGGCTGCAAGCGCTAAAATGTATACGTTTAATTATCCCCTCCAATTACTCCAGAACCAATTTTTTTTAATCTGTGCTTCAATAATTGTGTACTATTGTCAATGTATGCTGACGGCTTGTGCACAATTAAGCTCAATAGAAGTAGTTATGAAATACC